GTAGTTTAAACCGACACCTATTTAAAGTTGCATTTGCCATCGGGCGATAAATTTTAGAGAATAGCTCTTGCTAAAATCGCAGTAACTGTTATTCTAGAGTATTCGTCAGATTTATGAGGTAAAGATAGCTCTGTTTGTACGCTGGCGAGAACATATTATTTCAAATTAGACGAACGAGAATCTAAAGACAAACACGAACAGCTTCATGAAAATATTTGTGGTTTAATGTAAATACTTTTTATTGTCAATATTAACAACACGACTGCAACCACGACTATCATTTTCAAATTTCTTAGAAGACCCACATATTGAATTAATAGATATAACCACAAATTTATTTTTCGAAAGCTGTTTGACAACAACATATTGCGTAATAGTAAGTAATGGATAGTGGTTTTTCTTTCATGAAACCAAGCATGTTTAACAATTAGTTCAAAGAATATAGCAATTACAGCCGATAATAATAAGTTGAACTATATATTTTGTAGCTAAATTGCTTCTTTGAACAATGAAATTAGAAAAAATTGCGTATTACAGTTAATATTAGTCCAGGAATTCAAATTTAGCAAATTATCGTTATACAAGATGTAACAGTGATGTTCCATTAAACTTTAAGGACTGAATGATTACACACTTTAGACTACACTCACCAAACCAACAAAAAGATTTCTGTCTCACACCAGAGTTGAAACAAAAGATAGGCAGAGAGAATCTATACTACAAAAAAATATTATTCGTTCAAAAATGCAAATTGCTAACCAAGTAGCTAAAACCTTACAGTAAACAAAAACATCTATTAGCGAATTCTAAATAGATTTTAATGAAGCTGTTAGATAAACAAAAGCAGTAAAAGATTTAGCTAAGAAAAATGACATAGATACTTACAGTTTAACAATTTTCTACAGGAAAACGCAGATAACTCTTACGTTTTCGAATACTAGCATGGAAAAACGGGTAGGAAAGAAAGTAAAGCGAGAAAGGAGAGACTTTATTTAGTCTTTGGTATTTATACTTTCACACAGATGACGCTTCGAATAATAGAAAAGAATATTAGGCAACCCGCAACAAATTGTCATAGTTCAAATTGTATAGACCGAATCTGACCCTTGTGTACTATTTAGATACATAGAAATGAACAACTTCAAATTAATATGTTTTTACAAGGATTTGGAAGAACAACCAACACGTGTTTTGTAAAATAGATACACTAATGTGCTTAAAACTTACAAAAAACGATATAAAAGAATATTAAATTTAAATAAAGTAAAAATTTAGCATTAACCCTGTTATTCCTAATGCTCACGCTTGGAAAGAATAGCCTCATACGCAAGTGAGCTATTGTTGATATGTTATCTCTGTCATCATTAGCATATTTTCTCTTGTTTTGTTTAATCTTGGCATTTTCTAGTTCTGTTGTTTTTCTTGGTGTTGTACTGTGTCAGTGTGTTTATCCAATTTTTTTTTCAAGTGATTTATTATAGACGTACTCTTAACCATAACCAAACTTTCCTTGAATGATATCCTGTTGCGAGGCTATTTCGCATACATGAAATTATCTTTAATGCGCATGCTTAGTAACATTGATATAATTTTAATTTATTAATTACTATAAAAGTCAATATTGTTCTATAAATTTAAATATATAAATTTTATAATTCTATTAGTTTGTCACTTGGGGGTTTGAAACTTTTTAAACATTTCTAATATTGCCAGAATATCGAAATATTTAAGGTCATGCAAAGAAGTCATTTTTTGGCAGTTATGTCCGGAGTACATAAGGTCGAAAATCGATCTAGTAAAAATATGAGAAAAATATGTGACGTCACTACTAAAAAGGTCTATATAGGAGCGTTTATACGAGGTGCTTGAAGTATAATGAGAATGATATTACTATGCGGTTATAGAATTAAGTGAAATTGAGGAGAAAATAGATGGTATATAGGAATTTAGTTACAAATTAACTAAAATTTCGTTATTAATCTCTTTTTTCCTTTTACTTAATAATTTTTACACCCAATTTTAATTTTGAAATCACTTATGGCTTCTTTAACGAATTGCCTTCTTTAGTTATATTTTTTCCTAAATAAATAACCAGTTGGCAATTTTTCTCAAACACCAATCATTCCTTATTTACTGACTATTTTCTAATTAATCCTCCATTGATCGCTGGTTTCATCGTTGTACTTAATTAAAACTATGAAGTTGCATTCGTTCCGCAAAGTAGGTTACCCGATTCTTTTGTTTTTTAATGCGCGTTTCATTAAAAATTTTAATGAGCCCGTTTATGAATTTGAAATATTTAACATGGAAGAACAGCCCGTAAAACGTAATTTTTCACCGTTCGCCATTCAATCGTCGGTCTATACAGGGCCTCAAAAAAATACTGTAGCAAACTTCGAGGGCTAGCAACATTCGTTGAGATAAGGGAAAAATTACCCTCAAAAATGTCGTACAAGACAGCTGCAAACCCTTAAAGAGTTTATTAGAAAGTAATTCACGTAAGCTTATGTTTTCTCTCCTTTAGTTATCTTCGGTTGGACACGATTTGAATAGTTTTGATTTAAATTTACTCTTGTTTCAAAATACATTTTTGCGTTTGTGAAAGAAAAATTATTAAAGTATATTTCTGCAAAATTTGGTTTCATTAATTTCTTACATCCCTGAATAACGGCTTCCTTGCGGTTTACGACGTCAGTTTTGGAAGTGTTGTTGAAAATATTCGAAGAAGCCTATGTGTTTTTGTAAATAATGTTTCATCCTATATATAAAATGGTTAATACAAAGTTGAAGTGCAGTGACAGTGACGAATGACTGCAATGTGTGGTTCTACTTTTCAAAAATACATTGCCAGGTTGTATTCCTGAAATTATATTTATTTATAGTCAGAGTTGCAACATAACCTGGGGCACAGAATAAAACTGAAACACGTAACTTTGTTGGATCAAGGTTCTACATGTTTTTCGAAAAGTTTAAGAATCGATTCGATTAGGAAGAAAACAACGTTCCCCTTTACGTAATATCAGATAATACTATTACAATTCTTGGATTATTTACTGTATGAAATAACAGTGAGGTAAAGATGCCGCTGGAGTTTTTTTCCGCTCTTATATGGTTTAGACAGTTACCATCTGTTCATAAATATGTTTATTTATGTAAAGTTCATAAGAATTTATAAACTGAACCCTATTTCGGCGCTAGCATTAAAGAAGATGCGCCGAAAGTACCGAGTAAGCTTAAGCAGTCTAAAACTGTGCTAAATAAACAATTTTTCTTTTTTTCATATGATTGAAGATCCAAACATAAATGTAAAGCGTATATAGTTCATTTTGTGTATATAAGAAATGTAACGATTATTAAAATAGTACTCTTCCACACATTTAACAATTGTATAGACAGTTCTAACTATAGTGGCATTTACATCTGACCCGCAATCACTCCATGTCTGTAGTAAAGACATTAAAAATAGCTGGATCATTCGTCGATTACCTCGCCTATGGCATACTAATGAGAACTAATAAGTTCGAAACCGGTATATGTTTGGTGGGTTCGGCAGAGTATTTGTTCCTCGCAGTATTGTCGGTTTGAAGTAATTTTCGAAGTGATCTTGAAAAAACGTCTTTATTTAATGTATCTATTGGACAGAAAAAGAGGTAATAGTCGCAATAAATAATAAATAAAACACGTCTCATCATCCTATAACTCATGATATGTAATTGAGAAAACTGCACTTGAAGTACGAGCTTATGGTCTATAAAATTTATTGGATGTATAATGTGTGTTTTCGAATATAAGAAATAATGTCAAAGTTATATGCTCAGTTTATTTTCCCTCATTCATACAAAGAACAAACCTTAGTTAAGTTTTTAGTTGGCGTGCGAAAAGCAAATAAAATATTATATTCCGTCAACATTTCCCAGAATTTTCACTTCAATGCACTTAAGGAGGTTTATCGGGTACGGAGGTCAGTCTAAAGTCTAACGAAAGTTTCTGTAGATTCGCTAGTGACTAAAGTAGAAAGCCTTTAGATTTGGTAACGTTTGCTCGCTCCCGTTCGATCATTCTGTTTGTTTGGACACCTGCGAATTTCAAATAATACGCTACATCGAGACCGCGGTGTTGTCGCTATCACGCATATGGAGGATAAGTTAGTCAACAACAGCAGTTTGAAGGAGAATTATTATAAATTATTATATTATCTTACAAGTACCTAATCGATTTCTACAAGCTGTCATACGGTTCCTTAGATATCGGTTTCCTATTTATACAAGTTTCTGTGGAAACTGTTCGTCAATAATTGTTGCGCATTCTAAGTGGAAAGACCAAAAAAATCTGCATTCTCATAAGACTCTGTACTAAATCGTGAAATATTATTTTATTAATATCTCGTCTCTTAGGTATCCAAACTACTCATAATTTTTTTTGATGATTTTCTTCATATTAAGCTTGTATTAATTTTTTTATGAATATTTGTTCGTCAGTTCCAAATCAGATAAACCTCCTTAAGTCCGTTCTTGTTAAGGACATATTTGAATGGGGCAAAATGTGGATATATGAGTAAAGTAACCGGTATCAGGAAAGTCCATCAAGAAAACAACTGAACATCAATTTAAAAAGGTATGGTCACAAAAGGAAGCATCTCTGTAAATTAAAGTTCTTCATAAAGTATATTCTGATTTTGCAAAATTATTTACATACTTATATCTACATTTTACCCGTTTTACCCCAGCAAAGGAGTAGGTATATTGTAATAAATAGAAAATTATTGACCGTTTTGTATACATACAAAGTGTACTTTTTATAAACTTCTTTCCAAAAAATGTGTAATAATATATCTTAAAGGATTGTGTCTTTTGTAATATCTTAAAAGTTCTTCGAGATATCTTATTTGTATTTTAAACTTCGACTTATCACATCGGGATCCTAATTTGCTCAAAAATAATTCAAATCCCACATATTGTCTGAGGGAATAGTATTTTATCACAGATTTTTTTCTGTTGCAGGCAATCGTCAAGGTTTAACTACTTGGGACAACCGTAAAAGTAAGTACATAAACAATTTAAATTTTTTTTTCATTTTAAACTTTTTTAATACAGAAGTCGGTGATTATCGGATACGGGCATAGTAGTTATTTTTTACAAAACTTGTAGTATCCAGTTGGTGTTGGAAGGACATTTTACAAAGGTGAAATATTATCAAAAATTTTGTAGTAGTTGTAGTGACTATTAGATATCTTCAAGCATCCGAAATAGTTGTAATTAGGAAATCAGTTACACTTTACCTAATTTACAGAGGGTTAGCTAAATAAGAGCAGTAAAACAATAGCTTTAAAAATTTCCTTAAGAAATCGGTACAACTAGGTTTGTTTGCATAATATACAGGGTGATTCACTTTTTATGATTAGGCCTTTAACCATCGATAGATCTCATCAAAATAATGTCATTTTGAAGTAGGTATACACTTTTTCTCTAAAGGCTTCATTTTTTAGATATAAGCTCTTGAAAAAAAATTTTTTTGGTTTATATTTAATTTTGCTTAAACTATGAAAGCCATCATAGGAAGCCATTTTTCTCATAAACCAAGCATTTCATGTAAAAATAGTAAGAGACCTTTTTGCTGTAGAATAAACCGCAATGTAAAAAAATATATTTTGAAAATATTCCAGTGGCGTCTAAATTTTATTAAAAATAGAGGCAATCAGAGCCTCTTACGGACGCCTATGGTTGATCTATTTTCTCAATAATTTGTAAAATCGATAGAGCGTTTCATTCGTACACTTCATACGAAATATAAAATACTTCATACTAAATATAAAACAAATGGCTTTCATAGATTAAGAAAAAATTAATAAAAAACCAAAAAAAAATATTTTTTTTCATGATCTTATATCTCTAAAAGGAAGACTTTGGAAGAAAAAGTGTATACTTCAAAATAACAATATTTTGACGAGATCAATAGATGGTTAAAGTCCTAATCATAAAAAATGAATCACCCTGTATAATACAGTGCTGAAAGAAGCACTCTTAAATATGCAAAATAATAATGTTTGCATCCAACCCACAAAATATTTCAAAGCTAAATTGTACCAAAAAGTAACCAACTCTTAATATTCTTTTAACACTAACATATGTGAACATTAATATTAGCGGAAGCGATTTTTAAACAAAGCAATGAAAAAATCCTAATAATTTGGTAATTACTATACAGGCACAGTGTGGCATGTCGCATTATCCATTGTGAACTATTCGGTATTCGATGTTCTCGATTTTGTAACACAGTTTAGGCAGGTGGATTTTTAATGAATTTCGAACCGTGACCATAAAAGTAATTTGGTCCCAAGACCATGACCACGGGGAAGGTAGGCCAGGTAGTCACTTCCTTAAAGGGGTTGCCCAGAGTGTTTTTGGGCGGGAAATTATTTATTAATCGACTCCACTATAGATGATATTAAATAAATAATAACACTAAAGTGTTATTTTTTGTTATTTTTTACATGTTATAAGTGTCTGTTCATATTTGGGTCACTTAGGTAAAGATTGAACATTACTTATTAAAGTAATTAGAGTATTAAAAAGGGCGATATCTTTATGGAATTTGACATAAACTTTATGGATTTAAACATAAAATTAAATGCTAATCTCCTCTTCTACTTAAGACCATTGTACTCGGCAGACAAACTCGATTATTAGAAAAGTTGGGATTATCGAAGAACTGCAATTCACTTAGTCGACTGGATAAAGGATCGTTGAATATAAATGGGCCTTTAAGCTCTACTTACCTCTATCTATCTACCTCTGCCATCCAATTTACAGAGAAGAGACAACTGTTATTACAATGTTTCTTTTTTATTTATATTTTTACCTGAAATGTTACATAACCCTTACTTATCTATGATACTTTCGAAAATTCAAAAATCACATCAGGTGCGCTTCAGGGCTCGGTGCTAGGGCCATCGATTTTCAATATATTGGCAAATGATGTAGTTATTGAGTTCCATGTCGGGTGTCTTTTATATGTTGATGAAATGAAAATCTACAAAAGAATTCATTTCTTGAATGACTGTATTGAACTGCAAAATAGTCCGAGCATGTATATGGTGTACTCTCAACAGATTACAGTAAAATATGAACAAGTGCAATGTTTTATCGTTTATTCTTAAGAAAAGTCCTATTGTATTTAACTACTCGTTAGATGACTGTGTTCTTGCTCAAGTCACAATCATTTTGTGATCTTGGAGTAATTTTTGATAGCAGATTATTATCTTTTACCCAACATATTCATAACATTGCTACAAAGAAATTAAAAAAATTATCCGTAATATAAGCAAAAATTTAATTCTAGGTGTGTTATTAAATTATTGTACCACTCTGTCTAAACTAGAATACTGATAAATAATATGGCCCCTTTATACGTAGATGGCAGCACATTATTTTCAAATTATTACATGATTTAATAGACAATAGTGCCTTGTTGGGTTCACTTAACATTAGAGTGTCTAGAGCTGGCTCTAGACTTAATACAGTATTTCATACACCTTTACCTAAAACGAATATTAAAAAGTAATCACCTCTTAATCGGGTATGTGACAGTTTCAATCTCCGAGATCACTATGAGACATTCCACTGCAATGTGGCTATAATAAACATACCTGCAGGTTGTAACGCATAGTAAACTGTGATAATAAATGAAATAATATGATGCTTATGTTTGCAGAAATACATACAATACCTAAAGAGAACAATAACACCAACATTTTATTTCTAAATTTTGAAGACTGTTATTTAGAGACATTTACATTCATGAAAATGGAATGGATTATTTGAAGGAATAACCAATGTTCAAACAGTTTGGCGTATTCATTTTGTTTTTTAATTCTCAAGGAAATGTGTGTACACATTTTCTATTTTATTATTTTCAGTATTCAGAAATAACTCGTTCATACAAAAATACCTACATCTATTTTTCCAAACTGAAGACGTCATATTGTCCGCTTGAAAGTTAAACACTTCACATCAGTTTTGGCGGGAGTTTTGGGTACAAAAATACCGCAAACTGTTTCTATAACAAGAGTACAGAAAACAAAGTAAGGTTCCTGACACGAACATATTTTGTTTACAAAATATAATCATGTTTTTGATAACATGTTTCAGCATGTAAAAGTTCAATGTAGTGGAAATATATCAAGGGGGAAGAATTTGTAATAAGGCATGTGTTATTACAAAATCTTTTACCTGCTTTTCTATGCTATCTTAAACATAAAAAAATGGTAGAGTCTAATTAGACAGTGTTTTGTCCAAAATACAATATTTGGAGGAAGATTGATCATTGAGTAGACCAATTAACTAAAATAAACATATATTTGAAGTATTAGAAATCGCTATCAAAAGCTGCATTAAAAAAAGTCATAATTAGTTAAATTGAAGGTTATTGAATCCACTGTGTATTTCTACCTTCATGTGATAGGAGGACAGTCCATAGATAGTCCATAGATAGTAGTAGTAATCACTAATAGAATTATTTACTCTCTTTTATTCAATTTTCAATGGATGGTTATCCATTCATAGATTTTCTTTGAAATCTGAAGAACTTATACAGAAGTCTTTGGAATTAGTCGAAACCATCTTGTAATATTTTCGAAATTTACAATATCTCCTTCCGAGATCATAACCAACGTCGAAGTTGTCAAGTCAAGTTAAGTAGATATCCAGCAACTGAAGAATTAAACACATCTCAAAACTACTTATTTTAAATTTTGTGATGTTAATACATAGCAGTGCACTTTCAAAAAATCTTTGTATTTACAAAACTAAATGCTGATTTCTTTTAAATCTTAATGTTTTTATAAGAACCAAATAACAACGTTTTTATCTCTTAAACACCTTGCAACTAGTTTCATGATGTAAACTTTGTCACATCTTCAGGCTGCAAAAAGGTATCACTGAGATGCTAGCTGGAGAGGGTCGACGTTCTGATTGATTTGGACATGGCAATAATCTTAACCGCAAGATGTTCGGGTAGGTGTCATTTTCGAATCTAGTAGCCTTGTGGTAAAGCATCCTCGTGTTCATCGTAGGAACACCTTTATAAATATTTAAGAAAATATAATAAGCAATTTTTCCTGCTTATTAGTTTTTCCTCGTGAGATGCTGAGCGAAGTTATGGAGACAATGCATTTAATTGAATGGTTACATTTGCTTGCACTATGGTGCTTTTCTAGAATTGACCGAAAGGCTTTGGCCATTGCATATGGATTCGGAAAAACGCCTGCATCCCCCTGTTACCTGTCCAAGTGACTTGAGTAAAACAAATATTATATTGATTGAAAGGCCTTCAATTAGTCAAAGCTTTATCAACATCCAAGTCTTGTTCAAGTTTCAACAGTATAACCTGCTTCACTTTTCTGCTCTTCTAGGAACTAAAAGTATTTTTTCAATAGATATTGAATCTCTACAGAAATCTTTGAAATGACTAGGAAATGACCATATAGTCTCTTTGGGTGTCTTAAATCTCTATCAACTGTTTTACATTGTGACTTATTTTCATGAGTTAATTCACCAAAAACATTTCATGAAGTTGAACAAGTGTAATGTACCAAATCTTTTGTCAAAATCTTTATGAAGTTCTTGGAGAATTGGATAGAGCTAGTTCTAATGTTCGTCAATTTGTTAAGTTGAACTAATTCATGAAGACCTTCGTGAATGTATTCATTAATAAATTATCAACGTAAAGTAGCTGTAATACTGTTAATCGTGTCCAATGTTGGGAGTTGGGGTTCAAATTAAAGATACAGAAACTCGATATAATCTTGCAGTAATCTTCTTCAAATCCAATGAAGGTATATGAACTCTCGAATATTTGCCATGATGTTAATCTTTGATTTGGACTTGAATTTCCATAAAATCTTTCGAAATGCTTTCTGATTTTAAAACATTTGGGCGAAATATGTCGCATCTAGAAAAAAAAAACAGCCTTAACCAGTCTTCTCAAATACCCATTTTACAATAACATATAGCTCGTTATTAAAATATCTTCGTGTATATCG